TATAAAGAGTTTTGGATGTTATTCTTCCAGCTTTCAATTCTCTGATTTTTTAAATCTAATTTGCTTTCACAGTTTAAATCGCAGCGGCAATAGAGCTATTACATAGTATTGAATGTGCAAATTGATAATGCCTCCACAAACATGTAAATGTGCACATATGTTTGTATTTGTAATGATGATGTACACGTGAATGTTGTTGCCGTGTTTCAATGCCATACTGTCCTGTATATGTTCGAGGACCATCCTTTAAACCTTATGGCCCATGTTAAGCACAGATGAGGCTGCAACAGCTGAAGTTCAGAGACCTCTGATATTGAATTACATTTTTCATAAAGCCCACCTGCAATATGACAGAGAGTGAGGCAGAGGTAGAATGCCAATAATGCCTAACAGTGAAAGCATTCAGCATCTAACCTGCGATCCAATTTTATTCGAGAATGCTGAGCCACACCTCAGAATAATGGATTCTTATTTACATCTCAAGGTCCAAATAGGATCCAGAGTTATCTGACAGAATCCTGAAGCTTTTGGTGATTCCTATTCAAATGCTGTGGTGGTCAGGATGGCCTTGTCAGTATAAGGTCCTGCTATATGCAAAGAAACCTCCCTAGTTACATCCTTTTCAGAATGATGATTATGGAGCTGCATTAACAAAGATGTTTTTGTAATGTTGTTTTGACTAAGGTCTGACCTTCTTCAAGCCTGATCAAGGTTAATATGAATCTCTCCTAACTAATTCCTAAAAGAAAATTCTGACTACATCATGCAGAGACAATATGAGACAGATGTTAATACCAGAGGCAAAGCGAGCAACTTGAGCTGTTTAATGAATGCCCATGTTTAACACTAGTATCTGAATCACATAATTGGAGTTGAAAACAACATAAATATGCATTATAGTCTTGTGTTACACTGGAAACGTGTGTTTACAACTAATGTAGATATAAAGTTGAACCTGCAAAATGTAATACATACCTGAAGGTACGAATCCTGATGACGTGGAAGCCTCCTGTACTGTTGGAGAAAATAAGACTCCAGTGCATTTATAAAGGTATGGAGCCCCCAGCACATACAAAATACTAAAGGTTTTCAGATAATCCAAACTAATAAATGAATCGTGTAGGGATAATGTGTGGCAATGTGAGGTTTCCTTTTATGTGTCAGTGCAAAAACAGAAAATGTAGTAGGTTAATTATGTATTGTTTGCATAGTAGTTATATGCAGCTTCAGTATGTCTCCTCATTTAGTCCTATTAAAGTTGCTGTAGGTTCAAGAAAAGAAATAAATTCAACCATGGAAACTGACAGGAAGGAGTAGAGCATCCTGCCTCAAATTCTTCATAGGTCAGATCAGTTTCCACATACTTTAATTTAAAATGTTAAGGTTCACTTAAGGAGCAATGCTTCATTCACTCTCCCCTGTTGCTTCATTAATTACTCCACAAGATGTGAACTGTGGCTCTTATCCATTCATAATTTTCTGCATCCTTCTATTATCTTGTATTATAGTTCATCCACAAATTCAAAACTTTAACTAGACTCAGATTACTAACAATCAGTGAGGCTATGCTGCTAATTATGAGGCACTGACCCTGAATTAAATTGGTGCAATGGTGCATCGCAGTGTGTCTTGTTATTAATGCAGAGTAGTATAAAATTGGAAATGCACAGAGTACAGGGATGCTTAAGTATGAAAAGACCACAACTCCTCCATTAGAATAAAATTTAGAATCAGAAATACTTTATAAGACAAGGAAATGGCATATGGCAGTGGGTTTTACAACATGAATGATTTATATATATATTTTTTTTTAAAGAAAAGCATATAAATAAATGCAAGGTAAACACTGATGCCTAATATTTATGTTATACATATACAGTATATTTGTTAAAAACAGCAGCTAAAATCCAAATCCATAGGGCTAGGGGAAATTATTGATTTAATGGTATCAAACCAAGTCAGATTCTTGCTTTGAGTTTGCAGGAATGTGAAACACTTTTCAATGTCATCACTATTAGCTCAAAGCAGAAGCTACTTACCACTCCTAAAAAAAATAAATGCAGAGTTCTGAGCTGTAAAGATCTGAAATAACATTAGATAGAGGTAAATGTAAATCATTTATATGAGACCTAAAACTTCCCACTCTCACTCAAGAGGATGCTGAGCACCCTGGAGAACCAGTCACTCTGACTGAACTAAAAATTGCTATAGCTGGTATGAAAAAAGGCAAACCCAAATCTAACAAGGACATCACTAAACACAGTAATTACAGACCATTATCTAGCCTTCATGCAGGAATAAACATTTTTGACTGGATCTCTGCCCTTTAAGTCCTTTCTTATTTGCTTTATTAAGAGCACCTCATTCAAATGTATCAACACCCCTCTATCACCCCCATCATTTTTAATAACAATACTCATTCCATTTCATTGTATGCTGATGACATATTGTTATACTTTGTCAAAGCTGCCAGGTCAGATTCCCTGTTTGGTTATAAAATAAATTGGAGCATCTGCATATTTATTTGAGCTATATTCATGGGACTTATCTTACTTTGAGGAAGGGTTATTTCATGGAATGGTAACCTCCAAATTGTAGCTTGTGTCCAGATGTTCGCCATGAGGTTCGAGTCTTTTACTTGGTTTTATGTTGTACAATAAAAGGTGGGTCACAATTATTTTGTGTTTTCCAATGTGAACAAACCCCAATAAGATGTTATTTTTATTTGTTTTTATTATTATGTATCACAAAAACCGAAGGTGACATTTCTATTTGACTGGGTGATTTCCTTTTAGTATTGGCATGCCTGAACTTCCATTTATGTAACCCTATTTTCCATTTTCTATTGGCTGAACATCGTATGATACTGAGGCATACAGCCAATTCACAAAGCTGAAAGTCATGGGATTGTAGTCAGAGAATAGATAAAAACAGGGTCTCCAGTATCGTTTCCTTCATGAGTCTCATTGCTTTATCAGCCTGTCAGCTTTCTGACACAGCCCTCACTTTGCTCTCATGCTTCAGCGGTCTCATCAGCCTAAAGGCTTGTGTTAGACTTGATTGTACTACATTGGGGAAATTGTTTTGGAAATAAAACCAAAAATATTATCTCATAGAATTTTTATTTTTTTTAAGGAAGATAAAGGGCTAATGTACTGAAATGTGTTCTATGTCACTAACTTTTTTGTGAAGTGAGCAATATTGCAATTGGAAAATATTAACCAATGTCCAATAATACATGCATTGTATAATAATTTACTTTCAGCACAAAGCAACATTTCTCGTACAATGACTATCAAAACAGAGCTAGTTAATGTACATTTCGACTCGCAGGAAAAGTCAAATATAAACTGACACGTTGCATGTCATTCCTTTGTTTTCTTACAGTAATGGGTTGATTATCTCGTTATTTCATTAAATTTGGGGTTTTTTATTTATTAATAGAAGGTTTATACTTCGACGTAAACTGATTTAAACTTGAGTTTTGGTTCATATGTTGGCAGTAATGAGCATTTTTTTTATCTATCTAAATGTTGTTGTCAAGCACAGATATAAGGCAAAGTAAAATAAAATGTTAATGAATGATTTATTTTTACTTTGGCAGTCCTGCACTTCCATACAGTGTTACCTGTTGCTGACTGCAGCCCACTCCTGCGTGAGAGTAATGACCGCCTGCTCTTCCTCATACCTCTGCGTGTTCTGCTTACGGACCCTACAGTGTCCTTATTCATCGTGGAGCAATTTATTTTTTAAAACACCAAGAAATATCCAAAATAAAACACAGAATCATCACTTCCTATAAAGTTTCTTTGGACTGTGAGGAATCCAACGCTGCCTTCCATGAGTCAGAAAGGAAAAACAGTCAATGACTGATTCTCATTGAATTAGGAGCACCGGCCGGGCACAGACCTGCATAAAGCCAAGAGCACTTAACAATAATCTTACCGGAAGCTTAAAGAATTTTATTTCAAAATAAAGGCATGGAAGCAGACCCAGATAAACGATCATGATGGATGTTTGATTCCTGTTTAAAATACAACTTCCTTAATTGCATGCCAATTTCACAGACAAGCTGCAGTTTTTCTACCTTGACTTGTAGCATCTTTGCCATTTCCAGAAACGAAGGAAAACCTGACCCCTTACGAGTGTTTTTTATGCAGAAGCAAATTAACATCTGCTCTGTCTCGTGGCTCCAAGATTCAACAGAGAGCACCGGTGCCATTGCTGTGTTTGTACATTCCTGTGCTCTGCACTGATGCGTTCAGCATCTGTTGGTTCTGTTCCTGGTTTGTGCTCAGACTTTAGGATCTTTATACCTCTTGTTACTGTTTTCTTCCTTCTTTAGGGTGCTATGACAACAATGGTATTGAAGCCAAAAACACATTGTAAAAAATATATGTTATCTCCATTTTTGTGTTTAAAGTCATCTTAAGTAACTAATTTACATACTGTTCCTTGTATAATTCACCGTTACACCCAGGCACATTGTAGGTTATAGGTTAAATAAATGACCCTATAAGGGTCTATTAATGTGCATTATTGCTTTACTTTTTGGCCAGGTCTTAATTATATTTCACAATTGTGACATATTCCTATTATATTGATGAAAGCATTTTACTTTTTTTAATCATCATTTACAAATGTTCTTCTGTTGCATTCTATTATTCACATTAACACAACAATATGTCCCTCTTTTTCTAGGCTCAAAGTGACATCAGTTCTATTTAGCTTACAAAATCACAAAACAAATTTGCATATATTTTGTGTTTGCTGTGTTATCACCACCGAAATGTGGAAAGTTTTAACATTGGTGATTCTTACATGGCAGGACAGGCCTTTAAAGTGACATTTAATGACATTTAAACACACACACACACA